ATTGTTGGAAAGGGTTCAGAGAAGGGATAATAGAATGGTGCCCAAGATGAAATCTCTCAAATTGTTTTCTCTTGAAAAAAGAAAAATTAGAGAGGATCTGATTGATATGTTCAAGATTGTAAAGGGAATTAATAGTGTTAATGCATAATCTTTTTTCCTACTTAACAGTGAGAATAGTAGGACTAGGGGACAGAAATATAAATTTTGGCAGGGAAGAAGTCATGTTCAGCTAAGACAGGGTGGTTGGCCTTTGGATGTTTTGGAAGCAGGAAATTTAAGTGAGTTTAAGAGAAAGCTTGATAAGTATATGAATGATAAGGGCTGGCTTTAAGATTTTTTAAAAAAATGTATTTATTAATAGATTTAATTTAGAAGATGGAACAGCTGAGATGGACACAATAGGTCCCATGTTGTTCCAAAACATTATTTTATTATAGCCCAAACCTTGACTGTGTTTCTTTAGTGAGTTGGCAGCAAGCGAAATTATCAAAATGTAATGAATTACATTATTCTAATGGTACCTGATGATGACAAAACCTTGTCGAAACGTTGTACATTTGCTGTTATGTTAAACTTATATTAATGCTTTTATTCATTACCCATTCAAGCCATCTCCAAGCATTATCATGCTAATGTTGTTTTATTTACATGTTTTTCAAGTTTTAATGCTGATCTAATGATGTTGGGTCTTCATTAAGTGAAGCAGCTTTGTGCAAACTGGAGTGTAAAAGTACTTAACAGACAAGAAATACAGAAAAAACTTTACTACCCTGTTATTTCAATTATTTTTAGTGGGCTGGCAGCAAGGCTAGCCTTTTTAAAAAGAAAACCAAAGACTGAATATGGACAATAGTATTACACTGTCCTTCTCAGGACTTTCCCGAAGACAACAGCATATTAGCATCCAAAACACAGAATATAAACTAATTACAAAAATTAACTAATTAATAATCAGACTTGATGATCATATATGCTACTAATTATATTGATAATTTACATCTAATTGCCACATTTTTGCTGTAATTTGCTTTTCATATTTTATTTCCTTTTGTTATTGTGAATATTAATTGGAAATTTTTACAAAATGACAAAACTATAAATATTGTCACCAATTTTTACAAATGGAGAAATCTGAAATATTAATGTATAAAACTATTCTAAACTTAAGGAATGTCTACGAGGAAATAATGTAATT